TTTACTGTTGCTACTTACCAGATTAGGTAATTACGAGTAGTAATTAATCAAATAAATCACCAAATCAGTTGTATATATATGCATGTCACGTGATAGGAAGTGACGAAGAAAGCAAATTGGTTGTTTCAGATGTATAGGTTGGCGTGAAAATTTATAGGACTCACCGGAGAAATAAGAAGAAGCAGATAGGGATGAACCTTACTTCTGGAAAAAGAAAAGATAAAACTTTGAGGAGGAGAAAGGGGGCTGAAATTGTTTAAAAAGTGAGTACAAGTTAAAAGTTTAAAAAAAAAAAGGTATAAATTAAATATAATGGGGACGACCAAATAGGGCGCCCGTGTAATTTTTACTGCTTTATGCTTGCCAGTTTAGATGGCTTAGGCCTCAAATAATCTGTTAGGTTAAGTGCCAATTTATCTCACCTCAGGCTTGTTCAAATTTCCTTTTCCTTTTTGAAAAAGACAGATATATGCATGTACGAACGAAATGGACGCTAAAAAAGAAGTAAAAAATCACTTATTTAGATAACTAGATAAGCAAGAAGTTACAGTTTGATTGTTAACTAGTATTAGCACTCGCGCAGATGCGCGGACACTAATCATATTAAATATTTGAGTTATTTGGATTATATGTAAAAAAATCTTAAAATTTAAACCTTCTCGATAAATATAGATAATCATTGGATATTAATTAAGACATGAAAATGATCAAACATTTCTCAAATCTCCTAGTTATAATTCTATTTTTCTTTTTTAGTACCATTCTCGCCGGTGTCATTGGATAAAAAAAAATAATCAGAAAGCAAAATAATAACTCATATTTATGGCAAAACAATCAAAGGTTGAGACTATGAATGACTCTTTGTATACGACTTGACTCTTTTATTACTGCTTGAACTCTTATTTGGTGTGTTGATATATTCTAAAATTATTTCTATTTTAAATTTTCAGTTTTCTAAAATTTTATTTTTCAATAATAATTATTTTATAACAATGTAAGTGAAAATATTATCCTTAATTCAAAACTCATTTTAGTCGGCTATCTAGAATTTAAAAAGTTCTTTAGCCAGTGATTTTCTTTCTAGTATGACTCCATTTTGATATTTGACATTAACCATGTTAAATATTTGAGTTATTTGAATTATATGTAAATAACCTTAAAATTTAAATGTTCTAGGTAATTATAGATAATCGTTAGATATTGTTTATGAAACACTACATGAAAAAAGGCTAACATTTTCTCAAATCTCGTAGTGATAATTTTATTTTTGCACCATTCTTATTGGTGTCATTGGAACCTAAAAATAGTCACGAAATAATAACTTGTATTTATGAGCTCTGGAAAAGCACAAAGGTTGGCACAATATGAACGATTCTTTGGTTACGACGTGACTCTTTTACTACTACTTAAATTCTTATTTGGTATGCTATTATGTTTAAAAAAAATATTTCTATTTTAAAATTTCAATTTCTACAATATTATATATATTTCAATAAATTAATTATTTTTATAATGATGCAAGAGAAGATATTATCCTTAATTTAAAATTCACTTTAATCGGCTAGCTAAAAATTTAAATGATTCTTTAGTCGGTAAATTTTATTTCAGTATGACTCCATTTTGAGTTTATCGATATCTCTAGCCACAAATTTCAAATTTTGAATACCCTTACATATACAGATTTTTTGTTCTTTGAATCATTAAATGTTAGATTAATTGATTGTTATTATATAACATTGCATATATTGTCTTAAAGCAATTTTTTTACCATGCTTGGCTTAACCTCAATGCAAACTACTTACATTATAATTAAATTCAAATTCGAATATCATATCACTTTGTTAGCAATAGTGTTTTTTTTAAAAACGACACACAATGTGAATAAAAAAATAAAATCTAAGATATCCTTATTTTATAATCTATGTATTTGAGTTGAAAAGAATATTTGAAATCGATGAGATCATCTTCCAAATTTTTTACACTCAACAAAGATGAAACAAAAGAAGAAATTCGTTGTCATCTCTTATTTATGATTTTTAGATTTTTCATACATTTTTTCTATATTTATTTTCTTTTAACCTATTTTTTTATGTTTTTTTTGTTACACAAAATTAAGTTATTTCGTAATAAAATGATGAGTTTTAATTGAAATTGTCTACATAAGAACTCTATTTATATTTTTAATCTTTGGTTGAAATTTTGTCATATTTTTCTTTTGACTTTATCTTATCAACCTAAACAGGGGCTCACCCAACCACTTAAACTAAAAAATTGAGGATGTGTAATTTATTTATAATTCATATATAACATATGTATAATCGTGTGTAATAGGTATATCATCTATGTATATTAGCTATAAAAAGTAAATAATAAATCTGGCCGGATATTTATGTAATAATCTATAAGATTTTGGTTTCTTGATTTTATCCATGATATGACTTCTATTAAAATTATTTTAAAAACTCTCTACTAAAATTTAAAAATATCTTATCTTTTATTTAAAAATTACATTATAATTAAAAAAATAATCCCATTTCGAAATAATTTGTTTACATTTTAAAAATAACTATTTCACGTCATACCAATTTTTTTAAATATACTTTTCGTTACACTTGAAAATCGCTATAGAAACCAATATCCCTCCTTTTGAATTCGAGAAAAAAATCTTTCACATAATCTAATGATTCAAAACTAATATTTTTCAAAGAAAAAAATACTGCACCCTTGCAATGTTGGTTTGACTGCAGCTAAATGAAGAGATTTCGGCTTATATCCTTCAATTCCTAGAAGGTGCTAAATAGAAATTAATCAATTATATAGTCAAAGTTTTGTTATTTGTTTGATGTCCATTTATATAAATTGACTCTTCAAACAAATATTTTTCAAAAAGAAAAAAAATAACTTGTGTTGAATATTGATTGATTTTTGTAATGTTTCTTTCTCCAGCATGTAGATTTACTTCATTATATATGCAAGTAAATTTTTATTAACTTTTAAACTTTTTTTTTGTTATAAACATAGACGTGTACCTTATATATTTTATTTATTTTAAAAGAAATTCGCTTTATTTAAATCTAGCTATAGTGTTTTAAAGAATTATAATTATAGGATTTTAAATGTAAAAGAGTTTATAGTTATATGGAGTATTATTTATTTATTTTTGCCAGAGGCGAAGTAGTATTTACATAATTTGAATTAAGATAACAAAAGTTCCTAATATAATTGTATATGATCACTAACCGAATTAAGTATGATAACATGTTAATAAAAGATATTCTTTTTATTTTAATTCAAAATTAAAAAATTTATATATATAANTGGTGGTTCAAGGAAAAATAACAAGACTAAATTTTGACCAAATGGTGGTGCATAGAGCTACCAAATGTATATTCATTAATATTGTAAGGGATGTCATTTTTCCAAAATGCAGGGTAACATTCTCCCCATTGTAATAATTAGATAGAGTAGTTTGGTAAGAGACAAATGAAATGAAATGTTTCTGTCAAGTGACCACCACCATCATTCGTGGTAATAATTTTAAGGAGAATTAGCAGCCTTTTCGTGATTAAATGATGACATTTTTATGCCTCTTACATTTATTGTTTTACGACTTTAAACCCTGAAAAGCATTTTAACATCATGAAATTCTGGCTCAACGTACCACAAAACCTGTAACTAAGCTGAATCGAGAATGATGTTTCGTCCACCACAGTACACCAGAAAAGATTTGTTAGGTTATTGTTTTTTGCGTTGGCTCTGTTGCCTCGTCCCTTTAAGTTCGTCTGTATATCTGAATTTTAGACGTTGTTACTTCAAGTTGGATAATTATATATATCATTTTGCAGTGCCTGGCAATTTTCTTATGCCCAAAGAAAGAAAACGTACATACACTAACAAACAGAGGTTGGACAGTCTTCATCTAAGACGAGGAATAATTCATGCGCCATCAATTAATGGAAAACATTCTTCTACTTGCTGAGTTAGCTAGTCGTTATCATTTATTTATTTAATTTGATGTTTTGGGTTGTTACATAATATGAGGCGGACCTAGTGCATAGACTACGGGTTTTCGGGACCCAGTAACTCTTGCGTAGACCCTATATTTATATTAAAAAATTCACCAAATATTGGTAAATATCTGACTGTGAACCCAGTTATTATTGCATATTAATATGAAATTACGGTAGGAACTCATAAGCCTCAAATCCTGGATCCGCCTCTACCCAATGCTCCAAGAAGAATGAATGGTGCACTTGGTTAAAATTATCAAAAGATATATTTCCCACTTAATATATTTTTTTCTCTTTTTTTTTAGTAGTGCACCCTGTACTAAATCTTTTGTTCCAGAAAGAAAAATGCTTTTCGGAATAAAATCTGTAAATCAAATGCATCTAAATATTTGGTACAAAATATTACTACTCCTATTTACAATTTTTATAATGCAAAAATAACTTAATTACCAACTACTAACATAGTTACTCGGTTAGTAGTATATATATGTTTTAAACATTTCATGCCAATGCTCACCGTGTCTTCATAAAATTCAAAGTAGGAGTAGTTCTAGTTCTAGATCTATCCCTATTTACACTTTATACTTTTAAAAATATTTAAAAAATCCGTGATAAGAAAAATTGTTTCACTTCCAAATCGCAGTGTCAATACTAAATGAACATGCATAGGTTGTTGAAGACCGTATTCAACTAGTGAGATTTCAATCATTACCTCGATCATAATTATACCTTGCGGATGAGATATTCAAGACCATATTGTGTATAAGGTATACTTTCCTAATGTTAAACATAGACATAAATCATCATCTGAACAAAGATCAAGAGCCATTAAAATCGGCTTATTTCAATAAACTTCTTGTGTTACAAGTAAAACAAGATAGATTTAAGTTATATACACTAACAGTATAATGACAAATAACAAATTAGTTATCATTCTTATTTGGCGCCGAAATAATGTTCATTAGAGATTTAACTAAAATTACCCAAAAATGATTTGATAATTGTATAAATATTATTTTTTCAGCGCATGCGCAGTTGCATAGAAATCAAACTAAAGAAACATGCATGTGGAGTTGCATCTGAAGCCTGTAGTGTAAAAGACAAAAAGTTATTGACAATAGCGAGTCATAAGCGAGGCAATGATGAGCAGTCATGAGTACAATCGTGCTATACTCCTACTGATGGGCAATATGAGACGTACACTTAAAACCTTGTGAGCAACTTTCTAAGCAGCTTCCTTGGCATGCTTATTAATTTCCTCTTCAGCTACAACTATCAGTTTGTTTTCCACCCATATATGAACCATTTGAGGGATGGACATATCAAATTGGAAATTTGCTTCCTCCCCACTACAAGATCAAAATCAGTTAGCTCTATTACTAGAACAAACTTAATTCATCACTCGAGGACACTCTTGAGGAAAAACAATGGAAGCCTTCACAGCTGCATGCATGCTAACTGACAAATTAAGGTTCACATTCATCAACTACGACCTCAATATAACATAGATATGTATGGCTGAAACACTAAATTTCACACAGATACTAAATTCTAAACCCCATAAAGTACAATGAATTTAGTGTAAAAACTTTAAAGGTTCAATCAACAAGTTAATAAGTCTTGAATCCGATCCGCCGCCCAATGTTCTTGACTACATACTTTACTGATCATTTGTCATGCATATGCGCTAACAAGGACTTGCATCTTGTAAAAGGGAACGAAGTAGAGAAAGGAAGCCAGGGATACTGTAAATCAAAGGACTTAAGCTTGGTACTCTCCAGTATCAGAAAAGGCAAAACTTTATGAATTTAATGGCATCAACTTTTTAGAAAAAAGACAGAGAAATCAGAGACTAGAAAACACTTGCATACATGAGAACGAAATTCGTCCACATCGAAAAAAGTAAGGAATGCTTCTTTCTCAGTGTACTGGATTATTTGATGCTCGAAAGCAGTAAGCCAGTGAGTACTGATACACTCGTGAAATTAAAGCAGTACGCCAGTGGTATGTGCTAGATTTTTACCATCACTTAGTCATGATTAATTACTAGCATTACTATACAGTATATCACATCATTTAAACATACGATTATTTGATGTAAACACCGAACACAAATAATGATGTAAACATAAGTATATACACTACTCTACTTATACCCCTAATCCCTCCAACAATTTTATATTAACTTAAACTAGCACTCCATATGCATATATTACTATTTTAATTTCATTATGATCCTCAACAATCCAAGTGAACCACACGTAAAGCAAAACTCTAGACCTGAAAGTTCAGATCTGTTGTTTTGCCTTTAATTTGGCATTCCATCTCAACTAATTAGCTGTTGGCAAGTCCAAGAATAATATTACTGCCAAGCTCATGATCATTACTTCCAAGGATGTACACTATGTTCGCTAATACACCAATAATTACTAACAATATATACCCCCAACTGATCATTTCTTCTTCAGTTCTTCTATATCATGGAAACTAAGACCCAATATGTTATTGTCCCTTGATACTTAAGACCAATCACGACTACTAATAAAATAAGACTAGTAACCAAAAACTCTTTTACAAGTACAAGAATATCATGATGCAAAGGATGCATGCGTAATTGCTCTTATATATATACACACCTATATTTTAATTTGTCTCTAAGCAAATGCAATCATACAGGAGTAACACGTATCCAGTAGCAGCTAAAAAATTTTCTACCAACCTTTAATCAACTAAATTAGTGATGAGATTGTGCCATTACTGCTCATCAAACCCTAATTTCACAAGAAGGTAAGATTTGATAATACCTTCATTTCTCATGATAATATTTTGAAGATCTATGCTAGAATCTCTGCCTCAATAGTAGATCGAAAGCATTAGAAAGTATACCATTCAAAGGATCCGAAACTATACGTTGTTAAGAGATACAATTAGGATAAAACAGATCCATTTAATTGAGATGCACCAACACGTACCACACCTAAAAACTTCAATTAAAAAAAAAAAACTACAAATAAATACAAACCGAGCTGCAGCAGTTGATAAAACCGTATTCTTTCTTTTCTTGAAGTAGCAAAAGTAACCAGCAATAATCCTTGACCAGTTATCCAAAAGATCGATCAATCTAGAGTAGGCAGGTTCTATATAACTTTGAGAAGCTAGAAAAGAGAATAATACCCTAGTTGTAGAAATGAAACTAAAGAGAGTGCTTTGCTTGAAATAGCAAATTAAAGGATCGGATCGGACCACGAAGCTTGATTCCCCCACAAAGAAAAAAAGTGACTTTTGAAGAGTCATTCATTTCAATGTCTTGAGAAGCTAGAGCTAGTCAAAATTAATAAAAACAGTACTCTTTATTTCTTCATCTTCTTCTTCGTCATCATCATCCTCAAGAAGAAAAAGAAGATGTCCACGTTTTTTCTGACGACTACTGATGTTAGTGCTCGAACAAGAAAGTGGTGGTGATGATAATGATGATGTTTGGTGGTGGAAATAATGATGACGGCGGTGAGGTTTTGGTCTCGGTGGTGGTGATGATTCAGAGGACATTATGATTGCTTTGGCGTTGAAAGGTTAAGGAAAGATAGGTCAGAAAGATAAATATATAGTATAACCTTATAAGCTTCTCTCAATGTTTTTCGTGCAGTCTTTTTCTTTACCCTTTATTACTAGCTAGGAGAGAGCGTCTTCCGATAAGGAGAGAGAGAATTTGTGGAAAAGAATCCTCATCATTCACTCCTCTTCCATCATAAGTGTAACACTTTTGGAACTAATTTTTCACATTATATTATATTATGTTATACTAATATGTATCTCTCTAATTTCACTTCGTTACATCAGCCAAAATATTTCAAAATAAACCAAACTTTTATAAAAAGATTTGAAAGTCATTAAATATTCTCTGTGTTCCAATCATGTAATGCACTCTTCAATTTAGTGGGTCCTAAATGATACTTTCTATATTTAAAAAATAAATTAACATTAAATTTTTTATTTTTATAAAATACTTTATCAGCACACAAATATTTATACACTGTTTAAATTATAAATTTAAACAAATTCTTATATTTTGTGTTTTGTCAAAGTATATCACATGAAAAATGGGATAAAGAAAATAACAATCTTCTGCATCTTTTTTATTTAAGTTTTAAATTTTATAAACTGACAATATAAAGGAATTTAAATAAAAAACAACAATAATACAAAGAAACTTAATTAAAAAAAAAGAGAAACACTATTATTTGCTATAACAGGTTATCTAAAATATTAGTGGTTTAAAAAAGTGTTATATTGTTAATATATGTAATAAGTTATTTTACGTAACTGTTCCGCAATAACATACATTTTTTAAAAATCAAATTATCTTTATTTTCCCTTTGCGTAAAAAATATTTTAATTTCACAAAACAGCTAGCTCGTTCTTTTTTTGTACTTGGAACTTTTTTCTTAATTAAGTACCACAAAATATCACTAATTTAAAGTTCATAATTTTCTTATAGAAATAATGGAAGACTGAAAAAATTGGTAAACTGTCCTAGTTTCTAAATGATGATATGGAGTATAACTTTGTGACATAAACTTTCATCCATCCGAAAGAAGCTTACTTTTTTCTCGTCGAGTTGTCTCAATTTACTTCAACTGTTCAGAAAAAAATAAAAACCAGCTAGTAACATTTACTCTAACTAAACAATAGAATAGGGCCAAAAGAAAGGATACTCTTCAGTACAATCGCATGTGGTGTTCGGAAATATATAATAGCAACAAGTTTATGTGGAGGTTTAGCTACCTTAAAATGAAAAGTTGTGCCTCATATTTAATTATTTGAGATAATTAGGAGTTAGGGCTTCTTTCCACTACTCCACTTTTCATGTTTATATGTAATTATAAATACTCAGAATCAAATCATGATGTCCAAAGTCCCCTCACCCGTCACTCGTGTCAAATTAACTTTACGAGCTGGACATAGCATATCGCACTGTTGGCACAATGTACATAATTGGTGCATTACATCTTTCAACCAGTGCAGATATATATAGGTTCTCTAACAAATAAAATCACTTAATTTATCGTATGTTCAATAGACATTTGAGCTGATGTATAGAACATAACGTATATATCTCTATATTCTTGTACACGGATATGATAGATGTGTCCTTTGAGAAGGACTAAAGAGCCTCTACTCCGACGAAAATATATACTACATATATATAACATGCTAGGTAAAACATGTTAAAATATAAAGTTATATTCTTTTTTTTTCCCTTGAAAATGGATAGGTCAAACTTGAATTCAGGACCTTTTGTGTTATGAACTTCTGATACCATAGTTAATTGTGTGATTATTTTATTTAAAAATTCAAAACACACTTTTAATTAGGAGTATTTAATTAAATCTTGGGTACATTATATCCGTGGTAGTTAGAGTTTGGGTTCAGTGAAGTGATTATATTTCGGACAAACTTTTATGTGGTACAACTACACGTAGAAGCAGCAGAAAAGAGAGTCACAAAAATGGCGAAGCAAGGAATGAAGAATTCCCCGACATACCAACGCCTAACTATCCATTTGGCTGTATTGCACGCTGCAAACTGTATACACTGCAGAAGCAGAAGCAACCGAGTACACAACAGAGAGCTTTGGCTCTCATCCAAAATACAGGAAGAAACATGGAGCCTACCACGGAAATGTGAGAAAGGCACTTGACACCAAAAACAGAGAGGGCATAAACCTAGAGCTAGAGCCGGGGTCCACTTAGAACGATAATATTTACTTGCAACTTATGTTTACATAATTACATTGTTAAATAATTTAATTTTAATTAAGGGTAAAAAATTAAAGTAAGAATATATTATTTTTAAACATAATTAAATGAAAAATATCTATCTATATCTATCTGTCACGACCCGGAATCCCAATCTCGGGGATCATGATGGCGCCTAACATCCACTTGCCAGGCAAGCCGACGTGAGATAGTTAGTCAAATTTTAACAGTTTAAATAAAATGATGATAAATAACGAGAGATAGGAGCTCAATCTAATATAGGAGCTCAATCTAATACAATACCAGTATAAGTCATGTAATAATAACTACTCCCAAAGATTCAGAGTCACGAGTACACGAGCAACTAGAAGTTCTACAAACAGAGTCTGAAATAAATACAATTGTTTCGAAGGAAATGAACCGTAAAAAAGGGAAGAGGACGGGGACTTCAAGGTCTGCGGACACCAGCAGATCTACCTCAAGTCTCTGTATGCAATGATTCGAGCTGACGCGCCTCACGCACCGCTGGGACCAATATCAAAATCTGCACAAGAAGTGTAGAAGTGTAGTATGAGTACAACCGACCCAATGTACTCTGTAAGTGTCGAGCCTAACCTTGACGAGGTAGTGACGAGACTAAGATAAGACACCCATACAAATAAATATGTATGTATGTACGTATGTATATATATATATATACAACCGACCCAATATATATATCAGAAACACAACAAATATTAACGATATACAACTGGGAGGGGACATGCGAAAGCGGAAGAGTATGATAACTACAGCGGAGTAACATCACATAACAGCCAAATAAATCATCAACAATGAAGACAGATAAACCGATGATATAAAAATGGAACGGCACTACCTTTCATGCTTTTACTCTCATCCTTACCATGAAATGATAACATAAGTAAAGTGAAATGGTACGACATCACCCTTAGTGCTTTTACTCTCGATCTCACCATGTAACAATGAATAAATGAAATAAATGGTATGACATCACCATTCGTGCTTTTTCTTTCTTCATCGCCATAATATGATGAATAAATAATATAAATGGAACGACATCACCCTTCGTGCTTTAACTCTCTTCCTCACTGTGTATAAATCAATAAATGAGATAAATACAATGACATGATATCATCCTTCGTGCTTTAACACTCTTTCTTACCATGTAATAAAAATAATTTCAATTCAGAAAGTAAATAATGCAGAGATTTGTATTTAACATCAAATATGATGCCAAAGTACCAAACTTCAACTTTCAAAATACCTAACAATTACTAAATAAGCAATAATTACATAAGGAATGATCAAATAAGTAATAATCTAACATAAGCATAGATATCATGATGAAAGAAGCAATAAATCACAAGGAAACAAGTTCCACCCGCATGCTTTAACCCAAAAATAATGCATAAGTACTCATCACCTCACATGTATGTTGTACCCACAAATTAAACACGTAGAAAATAAACAAACAATTCCTAATCCCTCAAGTCAAGGTTAACCAAGGCACTTGCCTCGCTTTGCAATCAAATCGAAGCTCAACTAGTGCCTTTCCTCTAAAATTCGCCGCCAACCCAACCGAATCTAACCAAAATCGACTTAATATCAACAAACAATGCTAGGAAAGTCAATTACAATACATAAAACTAAGCTCTTTACACTTTTTTCAAAAAGTAAACAAAAGTCAACCCCAAGCCTGCTTGGTCAAAACCCGAGATGAGCAAAACCCAATCACCCATTCACCCCTGAGCCCGGTTATGTAATTAGTTTCAAAATCTAACCTCAATTCGAGGTCTAAATCTCAAATTTACAAAAAATTCAAATTTTACCCAAATCCCTAATTTCTACCATGAAAATCCTAGGTTTAATGTTAAAAATGCGTGGAAAGTAATGAGTAATTGAAAAAAAATCAATTAAACTTGCTTACCAATGAATTTAGGAAGAAAATCTCTTGAAAAAATCGTCTCTAGGATGTTTAGGGTTTAGAGTTACCCCTTTTTACCTAGTTACAGTTATCACAATTGCTAACTATCAATTGCGATCAACTCTTTGCAAAAGCAAAAAAGTCACTGAGCCTGCTTTCGTCGCAAATGCTATGCATTTATGACAAATGCGAACCAAGGCTGTCCGCAAATGGGAATAATCGGCTCACAAATGCGAGTCCGGCCCAATTTTCTTCCAGTTGCAAATGCGACATTAAAGCTCGCAAATGTGAACTTGCCCACCAACGCATCTGAGAACTTAACTTCGTAAAAGCAAAGCTGACCCAGCCCCCACCAACGTCGCATATGCGAGCCTGACCTCGCATTTACGAACCGGTCCTTGCAAATGCGAGATCTGCAGACCTGATGCACCAACATTCTTCTAAGTTCAAAAATCACTCTGTAACCTATCCAAAACTCACCCGAGCTCTTCGGGCTCCTAACCAAACATGCACACAAGTGTAATAACATCATACGAACTCGCTCATGCAATCAAAACACCCAAATAACACCTAGAACTATGAATCAGACGTCAAAATAAATGATATTTTCTAAGAAACTTAAGAATATGTAATTTTATAACCGAACGTCCGAATCACGTCAAACAAACTTTGTTTTGCACCAAATTTTGCAAACAAGTCATAAAAACTAAAACGAACCTATACCAAGTTTTGAAACCGTAATCTGAATCCTGTAACAATAAATAGTCAAACTTATGAATTCTTTTAGCCTTCAAATTACTAGTTTTTAACAAATTGCGTTAAATCAAGTTAGGGACTCGCCGAGTTTTCGATTCCGGACATTCGACCAAGTTCCAAATCACGATAAGGAACCAATAAGATTGTCAAAATACTGATCCGGGTTCGTTTACACAAAACATTGATCATAGTCAACTCAAATGAGTTTTAAGGCAAAATTTCACATGTTTATCAATTTTTCAAATAAAAAATTTCTGAATAAGG